CGTGCCGTTGCGAGGTATTCGCACGCGCCGAAGCGACTGCACTGGGAGGCGGCTTTGCATGTTTTGATGTATGTTAGATTCACGAGCGGGTACGGGATTACTTTTCAGAGGGGCACGGTGGGAGGAGACCACATGGAACTTTTTGTCGATTCGGACTTCGCCAACAAGGCAACCGACCGGCGGTCTGTTTCTGGGGCACTATGTAATAGTGATGTTCGCTGGTGCGTGTGTGATGTATCTGTGTAGGACGCAGAAGAGCGTCACCCTGTCTTCGACGGAAGCGGAGTACGTGGCGATGTCTGATGGGATGAAGGACGCTATTTTTCTGCGGTATCTGTGGAAGTTTATCTTTCCGGGCCGTGATGTGGGGTGCACGCCGGTGTGGGAGGACCACGTAGGCGCTATTCACTTGGCAAGTAACCCGGCTACTACTCCTAACTCGAAGCACATCGACATCCGCCACCATTTCATCCGTGAGCGTGTAGCACGGGGGGAGTTCAAGGTAGTCCACGTACGGTCTGACCTGCAACGCGCGGATTTCTTGACCAAACCGCTCCCCAAGGAGACTTTTTGCGCGCATCGTGACTTCGTGATGAATATTCGTTGATTTTGTTCTTTGTGTTACCCTGTTTCAGCGATGGGGCCTTTCTTGCATCATGTGTTTTATTTGTGACCTGGTACTGGCCTTTGATCTGCTGCTCGATGTTAATTTTGCTTTCGCGATGGATGAAATAGTTCTGCGTGAGAATCATGGGGGGGGAAGTATTGTTCCATGATCCTNCGTTGTGTTGCATTATTTCAGCGACGGGGTCTTTCTTGCATCATGTGTTTTATTTGTGACCTGGTACTGGCCTTTGATCTGCTGCTCGATGTTAATTTTGCTTTCGCGATGGATGAAATAGTTCTGCGTGAGAATCATGGGGGGGGAAGTATTGTTCCATGATCCTAGTCGCAGGTGGTTTGTTTTGGTTTTGATTTTTCGGGATGAATGATGCAGCAGGGGGGCTGTTGGATTGATTGATTGATATGATTTTGACTTCATGTTCAGGATGGAATGGATGTTATAGCAGGGGGGCTGGTGGAGTGGTTTTTTTGTCAAGGTGTTGGATGTCGGAGAGAGGGTTTGGCATGTTCTTGTAATTTGAACTGGCCATTGAGTTGAAACATGAATACTTATCTGAGGAATAAATTTGTTCTGAGTAGTCAGGACGTAAGACACGTTTTCCCGGAGTTACTCGTCCTCCCCGTTCTGACGTGATTCTGATATAATGTTGATCTTTTTGCTGGGTATTTTTCCAAGGGTGATTGTTCGTGTTTTGACTGCTTTTCTCGAGAGGGTGATTTGTTTCCGGGGTACAAATTTGACATCAAAAAGGTTTGAAAGCTTTGCAGGACGTGTCCTGTTGGAAGATCCGGCCATTTCGTGGGACATGTTCTATTGGCAGAGTCGTTTGTATTGGAATGGTGGATGGTTTATTGCTAGCATAGGGGTTTTGGTTTTTCTGTCTGCCGTTTTGTCTGGCAATCATAGTCGTGTCAGGGATTTCGTATATAGTATCTCGTACCGAGCAGGGGGGCTGTTTGGGGTGCTCGGCAGAGTATACTGTCTACGGGGCCTCCGGGGGGTACGCGGATGGAATTCATTGACGGATATGCTGCATGGCGATGGTGTGGCCTACCGCATGTCTCTCACTCTCTAAGCAACAAGGTCTTGAGTCAATCTTCTTTCTCTTTCGGCCTCTGACGAGCTACCGCACCCAAACACCTACCACCACAAAAACCGTCGCTATCACAGCGGACCTCAACGGCCGCACTCATCAGAAAAGCCAAGGCGAGGAAAACAACGCGAGGAACTACGTTCCTCCGGACGATGGTCTCCCAACGCCCCCTACTCGTGCCATAGGTACACAGACCGCAACAGTTATGCGCCTTTCCCCGCATGGAAACATGACCTCTCCCAGGTACTAGAAACTGCTACAGCTACTCTGGCAAATTCATCAACTTGCGCCGGTGGTACTGCGGACTAGCCCTGCTAAGGGCCTTGGTTAGGCGGTCCGCGTGTTGCTCCGTTGTCGGAAAGAACTTGACCGAAATATCCCNCAAATTCATCAACTTGCGCCGGTGGTACTGCAGACTAGCCCTGCTAAGGGCCTTGGTTAGGAGGTCCGCGTGTTGCTCCGTTGTCGGAACGACCTTGACCGAAAATCCCCCGACCTAAACAATCCGCGGATGAAATGAAATCTCACGTCGATGTGTTTCGTGCGACCTGGGCTGAGGGGGTTCTGCACCAACGCTATGGCCCCCTGTGTTAAGGAGTGTGGCGGCTAGCTTTGTTGGTAAAGTCGTGGCTTCTGGGGAAAAGATGTTTTATTGTTGAGATCTTGGACCAGGAGAACAGGTCAAAAGGTGAAGTGAGCAAGGGTGGGGAGCACCACAGCACCGCAGCACCGCAGCCACCACCCGTGTCGCTCGACCAACGCACAAAAAAAGCAGAACACAATAATATCGGAACACAAAGACTCAACAGACAGTTGCTAACGTACTTCACAGCGTACCATAAATCCTCTGACTGATGCACTATCCATAAGAAACACACTCGGGGTAATGCATCATCCACGAAGAACATTCCCACAGAACGTTCCTTGCTGTTCTGATAATATGTGGCTGCTCAACGATCTTCAACGCAGACAGTCCCGTAATGCAACCTGTCCGATCAAGTTGTTCTACGTCACTCTGTCGACACACACAGCAGCAACTATCACGAACAAGCTTGAATAGGGTCATCTTATTGTTGATAGGATGCGGGTCGGTCAGGAGGTATACCTTTATGACCCTACCCCCTTAGAGTTGTCTACTCTGTGTACCCCCTGAGATGAAGTTTGCATCCTATCAACAATAAGATGTACCCTATTCATGCTAGCAGCCACACTTCATAACACGAGCCCACCCTGAACATCATTTATGCCGATTCTATACTCAAATCAACGCTCAAATCCTAAAGCTACAGTAAGATTTAGCTGATGATTTATGATCATGAATCGAAGATATGACTCTTCACAAAACATCCAAAAGGAGGGTGAGTTGTAGAAATATCCCGAATCAACCCCCCACACCATCATTGAGACGAAGAATGCGAACGGTCACGAGACGGAACATCGACATCTCAATGACAACGCTTGAATGGATAAAGCTACGAAGAATATATATTGCTGCAGAGCACGTTATCATCCCGAACAGACGACCACAGAGGAAACAAAATCAATGCCCAAATGCCACACACCACTCTTTTATGCGCACCCGCGCGTATCACCACTGGAGGAATGAGGGTGACTACCCGAGAGAGTCCAAAATACGGTGACGAAACTCAAAACCCAAACAAACTTCCGAACGAATACGGCCTTTGATACTGAACGCGACGCAAAGGGAAAACTCAACGCAATCTAGGACAACGTCAACGAAGGGCAGGAGAAAAGAACGGTAGGCAAAAGGCACGGAGAACGATTGCCAGTGTGCCAGGGTACCCAACTCGTATAAGGAGACGGCAAGGGCAAAGCCCAAATGAGGACCAAGGATGCAAAGCGCAAACGACTAATGCAACAGAGGCGATCGACGAACTGCGCCATGGCTCGCTGGCGATACGCATCATAGTCTACAAGGACATAAGACACAGAAAAGTCGTAGAGATTCACACAACAAGACGACGACTCAGGGGCAGTACTGTGATGAAGGCGTCGCCCGAAGGTGGCGATGATGGAGACGAAGCAGAACGAAGTATGGGTGACGACGAAAATCCACGAGAGAAGGCGACGCCACGGGATGGAATCCCGAAGCACCAAGCGTATACAACACTTCTGCGGCACGATGGAAGTAAAACAAAAAAATTAAGACATTACTTGGCAAACAGGCGAACCAGGAAAACGCGGGGAACTCGGTGTCCAAGTGCTCAGAGGCAAACAACACCGACGAAACTTGGGGAACTATTTTTCCAAGTTTTCAGAGGCAAGGAACACCGACAAAACTTCGGGGGGAGGCTGTCGAGAGAACCAAAGACTAACAACAAAAAGGAAAAAGCGAGAGCGGACGGACATCCAGGTCGCGGCAGTTCACTGGTTCAGACGAATGTAGGCAACAAGGAAGAAGGATCACTCGACACTGCGTGCCTTGAGACGGCGTTGCCCCAGCGTCCAAAACAAAAAATAAGCCGACGAGAGAAAAGAGACAGGACACAAGACAAAACAAAACAAAACAAAACGGAAGGTGACAGAAAAAAAAAATCAGAACGTCGGCGAGAAGGATGGCACAAAAAACCAAAATAGGCCGACTGGTATATGAAAACGACGACGCTAAGAAGAAATGGTGGGAACAGCCGACGGTAAGGAGTCAGGAAGGAGCGGAGTTCGACCACGGTTGTCGCCCAGAGGGCGCGAACGATGTTTCCCTAAACACCATGATCCACAGACGGCGTCCAAGGCGGTGGAGTAGAGGTGCGCAGGCAGCGGGAGAACGCTTGGGCCCGGGTCATCCAAGAATCGAACGATGTACGAGCCGCCCTGATGAGCACCAACACGTCCGGTCCACCACAATCCATCACGGGTCTTGTACCACAGCCGCGTGGCGATAGGGAGGGGCGAAGCGCTGAAAAGACGAAGCCAAGTCGCGTGAAGCACAAGATCAGCCCCAGGAGGCAAATAGCGTTCTCCACGATTCCGGGCTAGCCCCCGCTGTGCCGCGCGAGTCCGAGCCACTCGATATGTACGGTTCCCCTGCTTGCTTTGGCAGAACTCCTGGGACCAGTACAAGAGGATGTGTCGCGGAATCGATCAAGGTCGGATTCCCGTTCCCGTGAAGGAGTAGTCGGGCCTAACCAATGCGTCTGGTACAGGACAGCGAGAACGCCGCTACGGCCCCGCACCAGTTGATGTCCTGAGATGTAGTCGGCCTCGAGGCGCCCGACAGGCACTGACACATCATCCGCGGTGACGTGGAACGGTGGACATTATCTCCGAAAGAGTGCAGAACATACCGCGAAAGCTCGGCGGGTAGAGATTGCGGCAAGTCGTCCGTCTCGTACGGATTGCGACAGGGCTTGCAACGAAGGACAGAAAGGCGACAACGAGCTGCGGGGCCGGAAAGATCGGAAGGCAGGTCCAGGTAGAGGAGTTTACGCGCCAACGGGCGGCCGTCCGGAGTGGCGTCGGCAGAGGCGGGACCCACCGCAAGAACTTTGTAGGGCTCCGCCCAGGAAAGTGCGAACTTGGCCTTGAGCACCTGTTGGTCTGTGTCCTTCTGCACACTCTGTCGAATTGTAGCAGCCGTGTTGTACACCCAAGCCCACCCGCCAACGGTAACCTGAGGGAGCTTGTGAATAGCGTCCAGCAGGGATGAATTGCGGCGCTCGACTCGCGAAATCTTCAGGGCGTTGTACTCACGGACAAGTTCGTAGGCCCGGCGCTAGCGATCGACAGCCAGGTTGCAATACTCGAGGTGATCGCGGGGCAAGCTTTGATGACCACCTACCGTGGGATGATCGAAGACCGAAAGCGGGAGTCGCGGGATGCGTCCGACATGGATCTCGTTTGGCGCTAATCCAGTAGACTGATTCACGGAATTGTTGTAGGCAAACTCAACGTGCGGGAGATGTACGTCCCAATCGTTTTGCTGTTCGTTGACGACCACCGTGAGCATCTGGGCCATCGTGTGGTTGACGCGTTCCGTGCCGCCGTTGGTCTGTGGGTGGTAGGAGCTNGTCGAATTGTAGCAGCCGTGTTGTACACCCAAGCCCACCCGCCAACGGTAACCTGAGGGAGCTTGTGAATAGCGTCCAGCAGGGATGAATTGCGGCGCNCCGGAGTGGCGTCGGCAGAGGCGGGACCCACCGCAAGAACTTTGTAGGGCTCCGCCCAGGAAAGTGCGAACTTGGCCTTGAGCACCTGTTGGTCTGTGTCCTTCTGCACACTCTGTCGAATTGTAGCAGCCGTGTTGTACACCCAAGCCCACCCGCCAACGGTAACCTGAGGGAGCTTGTGAATAGCGTCCAGCAGGGATGAATTGCGGCGTTCGACTCGCGAAATCTTCAGGGCGTTGTACTCACGGACAAGTTCGTAGGCCCGGCGCTAGCGATCGACAGCCAGGTTGCAATACTCGAGGTGATCGCGGGGCAAGCTTTGATGACCACCTACCGTGGGATGATCGAAGACCGAAAGCGGGAGTCGCGGGATGCGTCCGACATGGATCTCGTTTGGCGCTAATCCAGTAGACTGATTCACGGAATTGTTGTAGGCAAACTCAACGTGCGGGAGATGTACGTCCCAATCGTTTTGCTGTTCGTTGACGACCACCGTGAGCATCTGGGCCATCGTGTGGTTGACGCGTTCCGTGCCGCCGTTGGTCTGTGGGTGGTAGGAGCTGGGGGTGACCTTCTTGATCTTCATCACCTCGTAGATCGCCATGGAGAGCTTCGAGCAGAAATGCAGTCCTTTGTCCGACAATAACGTAGTCGGACATCCCCACTTGGTCATGTACTGGTTGACGAAGAAATGATCCGTCCCTTTCGCCGTAAATTCCGCCGCTGTAACTGCGAACATGTCGGCTCTCCGACTGAAACGGTCTGTGAACAACAAAATGTAGGAGTTGCCCTTGGCAGTCACTGGCAGAGGTCCGAAGAAGTCGACGCCGGCGACCGTACCAGGCCCNACATCCCCACTTGGTCATGTATTGGTTGACGAAGATGTGAGCCGTCCCTCTCGCCGTAAATTCCGCCGCTGTAACTGCGAACATGTCGGCTCTCCGACTGAAACGGTCTGTGAACAACAAAATGTAGGAGTTGCCCTTGGCAGTCACTGGCAGAGGTCCGAAGAAGTCGACGCCGACGACCGTACCAGGCCCCTGCGGCAATGGCATAGCGATGACGGGCCATCGAGTCGTCTGACGTGAAGTCTTGTGAGCTTGACACACCAAACACGCCCGAAGCCACCAGCGCACGAAACGATCCGAACCAATCTACCAGCAGAAGCGCTTGAGCAGACGCTGTGTACGATGGACGCCGAGATGGAAGGACCCGGCGGTATGGCATGCGTGAAGGGTCCATGGGCGCATCAGCATTGGCACGTAGACACGGGGCACGCCAGTATCCGGCAGACGAGTGGTCCTGCCGCCAGAGCGCCCAACCGGCGACGGCGGCGATTTCTATACGAGGAGGGTGACGTCGTCGTCGGTCGTGTGCAGTCTGGCTTACACCGCCAACACAAGCTCATCATGTAACCAAGGGGAGCGAAGAGGAGCACGAAGAGTGAGCAAGTCCGGAGGGGGTGGGTAGGGAGAACCGCGAGACAAAAAACGCATAGCCACCACACACTCGCTCTCCCGCTGTTGTTCCCTAGCCCAGTCCACAGTGCTGAAACTCTGAACACAAGCCCGCAAGTGGGAGGTGTCCAAATCAGAAGATTCCGAAAGAAAGTCAGGCGATCCAATAGAAGAGGCTGAAGAAGGCGAAGCCTGAGCGACTGGGGCAGCCGCAGTCCGTGGTGATGTCCGCGAAGGGGAAATCGTGAGGGGCGAAGTCCCGGGCGAAACTTGTAGAGAAGGCGAAACTGGGGATGCAGGGCGCGCCGCAGACGGCGAAGACACGGGTGGCGCAAGAGCAGTCGACGAAAACGTCGATGCCCGCGTCGCAGATGGCTGCAGCAGACGCGCGGCGGTCCGGGTGGTCTTGTTTGTAGGGCGGAACCTGCTAGAGTGACGGGCAGGCGACGATATCCGAGGGGCGATGGTAGCCCGCGGCTGGCGTCCGAAATAAGCGGGACCGGTGACGGTGCCTCCGGAAGCGGCGGTAGTTTTGACCCGAGTCCGTGAAGAAATGAGCGGTCCCCGCTCCGGAAGCGAAGACAAAACGTGCACATATCTAGTCGCCAAAGACGCGGCAGGTGACATCACGCGGGACGCACCAGAAGTCAATGTGGAAGCAGGCCCTGAAGATGCGGGAACAGGCGAGACGATGAAGACCCCCGGGGACCGCCGAGAATCTTCGCAGGCAATCGTTGAGTCTGTCAGAGCATCCAACCGACGCGGGTAATGTCAGCGAAAATCCCCAAAGTCGGAGGGCTGCTACGCTGGGGGCGAAAAGACTCCCGCCGGGTAAGGAAGGCGGAGCCCACCCAAACCGACCTCCGGCGTAGACGACGAGTGATTGTTGCGCCCGCAAGCCCGAATGAGGAAAACACCCGCTTGATCGACACCATCAATGCAGTCGGGGCCGGTTTTGTCAGTGTCTTGTGCTGGTAAAGGAAGCCGCGAAAGGAAATCCGCGTTGTCGTTTGCCGAACCTTTCCGATATTTCAGGGTGTAGCGAAGGTGGACAGGAATTTGAGCCATCGTTGCACCCTAGCGTTGTGTTCCCCAACCTTGCCAATGCTCTCCAAGGCTTTGTGGTCCGAATAGATGATGAACTTGGTCGACCACAGATAACCGCGAAGGCGTTTGATGGCCCAAACAATACCACCAGCCTCAAGATCCAAAACGGTCCAGTTACGCTTCGCAGGAAGAGTAGCGCGGCTCACGTACACGATGGGTCTCACCGAGCCTTTATGCCAAGGTGTACCGATTCAGGTAAAAGTCAATCGACGGATATTCTGCGAATCGTGTCCTTCCTCAACACTCTCCACCCACAGAATTTACACTCAACTGGGAATCTCTTGTGGCCAGGATGGGTGATTCGATGGAAGTGTCACAAGGTTCTTTGTAGGATCGACTCCAAGAGGTGTTCTCAGGACTGACACACATTGTGTCCATGGGAAAATGTCCAAGTCAGGAGAAAAAGTGTGCAACCAAGGAGATTCGAACCAGTATCCTGCCGCTGACGCCATATGCGAGGGTGTACCGATTCAGGTAAAAGTCAATTGACGGACACCCTGCGAATCGGTTCCTCTTCAACATTCTTCACCTCCTTTAAACCCGATTTTCTTCAAGGACCTGGATGCTGCTACCACTGGCCTCTGGGATAACAAACGAAAGCAAAGCACGCAAAAACAACGCCTCCTTGACGCGCAGCTTGGGCCTCCTCCGCGCGCTCGAACAGCAACTCTCGCACCGCCCTCGCCTCTACCCCTTCCGCCACGTGAAGTACCGCCGAGAGCATCCAGCCGGTGAACTCCTCCGTGCTGCTGACGGGCAGGCTCGCCACCGAGGCATGCAGGGCTTCGGCACTCGTCGGCGACGGGGGCGACTCGTACCTCGGGTTTCGGCGAGGGTTCTCCCTGGTGCGGCGGCTGGTTAGTTCCGCCGGCTGGTTAGTTCCGCCGGCTCGTCGAAGCGGGCGAGCCGCCGGGCCTCTGGCCCACAGAGCGCCGGGAGATCCGTCTCGCTGTCGCTGCCGCTGCTGCTGTCGCTGCCGCTGTCATTGCCGCTGCTGCCGCCGCTGCTATTGTCGCTGCCGCTGCCGCCTCTACCGCGGCTGCTGCTGCTGCGGCGGTCGTCCTCGCCGCCGCCCACATCGGCCGTCCTGGTCGATGTGGTAGGTGGGGCGACGCTTGCGCCCTCCCTGCTCGAGGGGGCGCCGCCGGCGCTACGCGCGCGGGCGGCCCGGCGGACCCCGGGGCTGCCGTAGTGCCAAGGTTGAAACCTGGTCCTCCATCCATAGGTTATCCCTTTGTCCTCCCTCCACCTTGGCTCGACGCGCCCTCCCCAACCTCGTCCTCCTCAGTCGCGATGGGAGGCAGCGATGCTCGGGTTGACGTCTTGTTGGGAATGAGCTTGGAAAGCCCCTTCGCCGTCGAGCACCCCAGGCACCCCCGGAGCTCGTCCACCAGCGTCGTCCCCTGCTGCTTCGTCGTGGCCCTCAGCAGCACCTTGTGTGAGTGGCCGTGCGCGCAGTGGAAATCGGTCATGTCAACGGGGGTGCTGGACGCTTTCGCGTTGCCAGGAGCGATTGCGGGATAGGCATGTTCAGTGTGTGTGCGGAAACCGCTTTGGACGTATAGGCTACCGCATCGGGGGAAGTACACCAACTCCCCTCCCCCCTCTCTCCAATTCCAACTCGTGTTTATTGAAGGTTTTTGTTTCGAACCCATCGTCGAAGAGGTAAGTGAGAGATACTAGGTTGTAATATAGTCGGGGAACGTGTGCAACCCGTTTCAACAACAGGTCGGTTGCGCCGTCGCGCGAGCTCAGGGTTACCGTCACGTCGCCGTACCCCACGATGGGGAAAAGGGTTTCTCCGGCGGCGACGCGCACACGTCGATCACACTCTTTGTAACGAACGACCCCATCTGAGTTCGCGAACATGTGGGTGGTAGCGCCGGTATCGGCGACATACCTACCCCGCCTAGCCTTCTCTACACCCCCTCGACCAACGACTTTGTGACACTCGCCTGAGATGCCACCGACCACCAGCGCCTCTTCTGCCACGTCCAGTGCTGTGGCGTTCGCAGTCGCCCCCCCCCCGCCGGCACTTCCACCACGAGCACCGCCTCCTCGCTGGGGCTTTTTCTTTTGTCGTGCCCGTAGCCCTTGCATGTCTCACATCGCACGGGCTTGCTCTCGGGGCAGTTGGCCACCTGGTGGCCCTTCTTACCGCA